TATATATATATATATATATATATATATATATATATATATATATATATATATATATATACATATATATGTATATATATATATATATATATATGTATATGTATGTATATATGTATGTATATGTATGTATATGTAATATGTATAATATATATAAATATATAAATATATAGATATATATATAGATATATAGATATATATATATAAATATATATGTATAAATATATAAATATAATATATATATATATATATATATATATATATATATATATATATATATATATATATATATATATATATATATATATATATATATATATATATATAGATATACATATATGCATATATATATTATATATATATATATATATATATATATATATATATATATATATATATATATATATATATATATATATATATATATATATATATATATATATATATATATATATATATTATATATATATGTATGTGTGTGTGTGATTTTTTTTTTTTTTGCATTTGGCAATCAGCAGCCAGCTAAACCAGTTATGAACTAGATAGTAAAACAATTGTTTGGTACATGCTTTTAGTGAGTGACTGCATTTATCAATTAAAGATTTTTTTAACAGTCTTAATAAGCTATCCCTAAAATTTTGTTTTATTTTCAGTGTGAAATGGATTGTGGAAAAGGGCATTGCCATGTGGATACTCAGGCTGGCATCTCAAGGTGCATGTGCCCCCTAGGACATGCAGGCCGCTATTGTCATCCAGGCATGTACATTCTGCTCTTATATGAGTACTTATGCGTGAGAAATGTGTGTAGTACCTATTGCTTTTCATGCTTCCATCCACCAGAGGGGTTATAGAGCAGACATTTATTTATTGATATATTTAGTTTAGTGGCAGGACAAATTTGATCTGGTCCTGTCTCTGCAGGTGCTTTCAGTATCACATGACACTGCAGCTATATCAAGGTTAGATAATCTTGAAGAATGAAACATACGAAGTGTCCTATAAAAAAAAAAAAAAAAAAAAAAAAAAAAAAAAAAAAAGTTTGTCCAACGGTTATTTGAGAAGTACAGTTATAATGTATTATAAAAAAATCTAAAACAAGATGGTCCAAATAAGTATTGATGGGTTAACGCTTATAACCCAGAAACACAGCATTATTCTACTGATCCATTCTATGCAGCCAATGATTTATCATAGTACAGTGTACAAAAATCAGTCTGTATATAACTTACGCAAATAGAATTGGGTTCAATTGAATAGATGATTGAATTCATGAATAGGAAAATGAGCCTCATTTTGTAGCAAGGAAGTTTTCCAAAGGTAACTAACTAATGCTCTTATGTCACAATTGTCAAAGATACTATAATGCAACTTTGTTAACTGTAAAACCAAATACCCATAAAACATAAAACAGTGTATTTAAAAGTCCTGTCCCATTGAGCTCTGTTAACTGGCTGAATGTGAAATCAAAGAAACACTTGCATTTCTAAATTGTATGTTATATGTTCTTTACCATAATTTGCTACTTGTTGTTTACCATAATTTGGTACTTGTTGATCTTAGGATTTTGATTTATCTGCAAAGAAATTTATTCATACATTCATTAATCTTGTTTCAATAATCTTTTTTTTTTTTTCATTCATGACAATGTAATTTCTGTTGATTTGCTGATTAGCTTTGAAGGGAGAAAATAAAACTCACCTGGAGCTAATGAATAGACGAGTATGAAAAATGCTGCATGGCTTTATTTAATGAAACCTTTGGAAAGAGGGAATTCATATCGATGGAAAAAATAAGCTTGCAGAGAACCTTTGATCAGAATAAGAATGCATGATACAAGGATTTGAGTTCAGGAGGCAAGAGATTCTCAAACTAATTTATGATCACAGCATTTATCAGTATTTTTTTTTTATTCCAAATTACTCTAACAGACTCCATTTTCCCAAAGAGTCTAATAATTAAATTTGTCCCCAGGTCCTCAGATAGAAACGGCTCGATTCCATGGCTCTTCGTGGGTAGCCTTTGCCCCTCTTCGGGAAGCTTACAGGGATGTCCAACTCACACTGGAGTTCAAGCCTGAGAGTCCTGATGGAGTCCTGTTGGTGTCAGGAGAGAATGACGACCTCAGTGGGGACTTCATGGCTGCAGTGCTCCTCAACGGCTATGTTGAGTTCAGGTAAGGTACCAAGAGGGAAGAAGAGGAGAGGGAGAGGGAGTGGGAGTGGTTGTGGTTGTGGTTGTGGGAAAAAGAGAGGGAGAAGGAGAAGGAGAGGGAGAGGGAAAGGGAGAGAAATGAGTAAGAGTGGGAGTAAAAAGAAAAGGAAGAGAAGGAGTATGGGAGGGAGAGAGGGAGAAAAAAGAATGAGGGAGGGAAAATGGAAGAACAGAGAGAGAAAGGGAAAGGAAAAGAAACAGAGAGAGAGAGAGAGAGAGAGAGAGAGAGAGAGAGAGAGAGAGAGAGAGAGAGAGAGGAGAGGAGAGAGAGAGAGGAGAGAGGAGAGGAGAGAGAGAGAGAGAGGAGAGAGAGAGAGAGAGAGAGAGAGAGAGAGGAGGAGAGAAGAAGAAGAGAAGAAGAAGAAGAAGAAGAAGAAGAAGAAGAAGAAGAAGAAGAAGAAGAAGAAGAAGAAGAAGAAGAAGAAGAAGAAGAAGAAGAAGAGAAGGAAGAGAAGAAGGAAGGAGAGGAAGGAATAATTTCCAGGGAAGGAGGGATGAGGGAGAGTGTGAAAGGGAAAATGAGAGAGAATGAGAAAGAGAATAATTGTTATAATGTCCAGGTTACTTATGTCAAGTAATGATTTTTTTTTGTGTTGACCCTGTGAAGTAAGATTTAGCACTTTGTCTACTAGTTGATTCATTGTGTATCGTTGCTAGTAAAGTCAATAGACATTTTGATAGACTTTTTGTGTGAGACTATAATGATTTTGAAAGGTCACAAGGATTATTAAAAACTTTTGAATGTGTAAATATCTATTAAACCTTCTTTATAGGTACTGATTGATTGATAACATAAAATGATCTATTTATAGTTCTTAATAATATAACATGAGGTTTTCTTAGTGAAACATCCAATTGCAGATGGGACTGTGGTTCAGGTGCAGGGTCTGTGCGCTCCCCTGAGGGAGTGCACATGGGCGAGTGGAACCGGCTGACTGTGTATCGGCACCGTTGGGACGTTTGGCTGCAGCTCAACGATGGCCACCACATTCAAGGCCGGTCTGAGGTAAGTGCTTGTAGAGAGAAGTTTTATGGTCACATATTCGTATGAAAACTATTACTCTAAAGGTGTAATTTTTAAATTATTATTTTTGTTTATTTAAAGTACTACTCCTTTTTTTGAAGATGCATTAGATACTAACTCACTTTCAATGATATTCCCCTTTAGAGTAATAATATTTAGCTTATGTTGCCTTCACTGTGAATTAATTTGAATTTACATATGGTTATGGTATGTGGTTTGAATGTTCTGTACTTTAGATGTAAACTTGGTGCATGTTTGAGGTATAGGAATGTAATTTGAACAAAGATATATATTATATACTTTCATATATGCAAATCTGTATGTATAATTTTGTTGTTATTGTTAAAACCAGATTAATACTGTTATTATTCTGCAAATAATTTTCTGATTTTTTAGTAGCTACAGTAAAGAACTATAATATCTATAGAAACATGAAATGGTTTATTTTACAATTGACAAACCAGCTTGTTACATTCATGAAAGTAGGCCATAGTTTGTTTACAAGCAGGTGTTACTGGATATCGGAAAATATTCACGAATGTATATACATGAGTATACATGTTTACAGATGAGATGTTGTTACTTATAAAATCCTTCCTCCTGCCAGGGACTCTTCTCAAGGATCACTTTCCGTGAACCCCTTTATGTTGGGGGCTCCAACAACCTGACATCCCTTGCAGTGCGTCTTGGTGTGACAACTGGCCTACAGGGATGTGTCAGACGACTGCAAATCAATGACCATGTTTACCGTTTCCACAAGAACGATGTGCTCAGGGAACCCAATCCCTCATCAGATTATGCTGCTCTTGATGGCTTTGATATAAGTATGTTTAGTATGGTTGAAAGGAATTGTCAGACAGTTTGTTATGAATTGTTCTCTTATATTAATTCACTGTAGTGTTGTTTATGTATAGATAGTACAATTAAATTTTACACTTGCATTATGCTTAATTGTTATGAATGAGATTCCTTGGTTTAAAAAGAAGAAGAAAAAGAAATGCTCTCTCAGATTAAACTCTTCAATTTTCTTCTAATATGAACACATCTCTTTGTAGGTGAATGCATAGGTGATGCTTGCAGTGAAGTAGAATGCCAGCATGGAGGAAAATGTGTGGCATCAGTTCAGGATACCAGGAACAACTCCAATTCAGCCGCCACTCCTCCACCTGCTTTCTTTCCTCCTCCTCCAGCTGCTCCTATATGCCTGTGCCCACTTGGCTATGCTGGGGATTTCTGTGAAAAGCAACTAAATCTTGAGGTTAGTCATTCATAGTTTGGATTAAATGCAGCAATATCAGTTACAGTTAATTAAAGTGAAACAGAAACATACATAACTTATAACTACCATAAAATAATCTACAGACTTTTTGCCTGAATCCTAGAAATGCTAACTAACTTGATCAGATATTTTCTGGGGATTGGTTTGTGGATTTGTCACTAAGGTTGTAATTTTTACAGCTTATGACAGTAAAGCTAAAGCACTCATCTCTCAGTTGATCTAATCTAGATTGATAGACATAACTAAATTTGCAGAATCAGTTATCTTGATTTGATACTATTGTCAAGAACATGTGGATATTTTGGAGTAGGGGCATAAATGTTAAAAAATGTAGATTTGTACTCTGAGGCAGGAGACAGATAACATATATGTCCAGTTGGATCTACTTGTTTTTTTTGTTAATATTCACAAAACTAAGAATGAATTCCTTTTCTCTCTAGGTTCCTTCCTTCAATGGCTCTGCCCACTTAGTGTTCCCAGCACTTGGAGGCT